AATACGAAAACTGTGTGTTGTGTCGGACTTTGCTGTGTCTGGTCGGGTTTGGGCCGTCGGCTGGGCAGTCGCGGGGCATGGATTTGTAGGCTCTCAAAAACCCCCTCGTTTGTTGTTTCAAAGATGTTCTTTCCAGAATTATTGAAGCATCTGGTTGCAGAAAAGCTGAGGCCTGGCAAAATGGCCAACACTGCTTTGTTCACATGGATGTCCAGGGAGGTCAACATCTGAATCTGTTGGTGGGAGACACAGCGCAATCCGCACCTTCATGAGGAACTGCTCAAAAAGACCCGGCTGCAAGGATTCCATGGCCTCACAGGATTGGGATGAAAGTGCATGTGCATCCTCGCAAAACGAGCATGGAACTCAGGGAAATGTGCCGTAAATGTTTGGGTTCAAGATGTTGCCTCATTGGCATGGGGAGCTTAATCGCGAGATTGTGTAAGAACCCCAAAGGCCAGAGGCAGCTGCTTAGCTTTGTCGGAAGGTGCTTCTGACTTATGATGCAGATCTGACCGCACGTGAAACGTGACTGCGGCATCGTCTGGCCTTGCACATCGAGCGGATTCAAAGCCCCGACATCAACTCCTATGCACGAGCATTACTTGACAGCCCTCAAATTCTGACCCCAAGCCACCCCAACCCTGCTGTGACCTAGGCCCTTGTAAGAAGCCTGTCGTAGCACCGTAGGTTCTTCACGCAGGTAAACGAAGATGCTCAAGGCCACGACCAGGTCCTAGATGGGCCGGCAGTGGCGTTGAAGGAAGAAAGCAGGCTTAGGGTATTCGGGGCTTTGGGTTTTCGGTCTAGTTTGCTATCAGAGTGTTTTTGTGACGGGCGCCCCTCTTTGGAAATGTGGGGAGCTCCTCTTCTATGCTTGCTTCATGCTTGGAGCTGAAGACTAAGATTCAGTCAGCTTTCCAGTTCTGCATTCTTTCCAATCAAGGTTCCCTACGTTGTCTGCTTGGGTGCTAGGGAAGGTAATGAAATTAATATTTCCTAGCTCTCGGTTTGCTGGCCAGAATGCCAAAACAAGTAGAACGAAAAGCGTAAACTGAAGCCAATAGAACGAAACATCAAAACCGAAAACACACCTGAAAGCTCCCCTTGGTCCTTTTCGAGCTCCGGCGCTGGCTTGGCTTCCAACCGTGCCAGACACAGCGACAGCAGACCCTGCCACTGGCGTAAAAGTAATAACGTTTATGGTTACTCAAGCCGGCTTTCAGCCATTACAGATACGATGATGATGATGACTGTGGCTCGGGACTTCGTCTATCAAAGGGCTCCAAGGGCATGGGCATGCTTTCAACAGCTTGCAGGACACCAAGCGCTTCATGTAAAGACCGTCGTCGGCCATGCTGCGCGAAAATGCAACCCACAGTGGGCGAAATGTTTGCCACGCATCAGGTTGTGCGTCGTCTAACAGTTGCAAGCTATCATGTACATGTCCCAGCGGGCTCTGTTCCATCGTGACGCCGTGCTGTTGGGCGGCGACCTTTGCATCCTCTCCACTCCACGAGACAGCTTGGCGGTGATCTAACTCACAACGCATCTTGTTGTGGCAAAGCTTGGCCACCTCATATGCTATGCTTTCAAAGACCAGTTCTGCTGCCATGGGTTTCTGCTTGTTCGATAAAGCCAATCTGCGGAGCAATTGCTGCCAAAGTCGTTTAGACGTCTTCGCGCCAATGTCCAGTTGTTTGCAGCGCAGCGAACGTGCGCTGCGCAGGCGGTTTTCGTGTAAGTATTGGTGGCAAGGTAGCTGACCATTGCCTTCGTGGGCTTCTTTGTCATTGATGCTCCTATAGAAAATAGATGACCGCGCATGAGGAGGTACAGGGTGTGCATCTGAAAAGCTGCATGCGAGTCAAAGCAAGCCCAACCCGCAATTTCGTCCAGTTTCAAACCAGTCCCGCAGAGAAACTGAGCACCAGCTTTTGAAATGCCCGAGTCGACATTCAAACCCAAACCCCCACAGACCATCCAGGAACCTGTTGTCAGCCGCTACGGTTTAGACTCAGACAAAAACGTTCGAACACAAATCCCGACCGCAAATCTCAAATTGCAAACATGCCCATCTGTTGGAGAACTGTCTAGGAAAGGGTGTCATCTCTCTCAAAGCAGATTGTTAACTACACTTCTCTCCAAACCCTTGCGCAGTCCATGAACTTGCTACAGGAAGTATTGGTCATGAAACCTCCGGGGGAACATGGTGAGGGGTTATATACTAAATTGCTAGGGTTTCATGTTTCTTTGTGGCTTCTAGTATCGGAATAGTTTTTCAACTGGGGCCTTTTCCTGATCTGGCTCATGAGCTTCTTGCAAAAAGAAATTGGGTTCTTTCGGACCGGGCTTTTTCTTCTTGCCGAGTGGGCTTGAGTTTCCGCTGCTTGAAGAGCATAATACGGGCATAGGATGCGGCGATGTGGATGCCAGACGTGTCGGGGTTTTGGCGTTCGGGCCTGCAGCAGATCAGATCAAGCATCAGGTGCGTGTGCAACCTGCAAAGCCTAAAGTATGATGAAGATTATCGCGCCAATTTTCTCGAGCTCATTTGGACCGCACCCCTTTTAGAGTTGGATATGGCTGACTGGAACCTTGTTTTATGACTTTGGGCTCTGAGGACCTGTAGCCAAATGGCTCACATTCAAGCGGTTCCAATCAAACAGAGTTAAACAGGATCTAAACGTAGATTGAAAGTGAAATTTGCTGTAGCTTTCCCTAGCAATGTCCAAACAGTCTTAGGTTCTATAACGATAAAGCTGTAACGTTACTACACGGCCTGCAGGTGGCTTTGGTAGAGCTCCAATGGCAGGAATCTCACGATGGCCTCACCACATATTTGAGGTTCGGAGTTCGGAATGGTTGAGGGGCGTATACTGCGAGGTTTCGGTGTTCAGGTCTTGTGCAACATCTGTACTGTGGCGGCGGATTGGCAGTTCGCCGGGCCTGGCTTCATGATTTGGTCAGGCTCTTGCATCTTTGCAGGAGAAATGTAGATTGCCGACATTCCCAGACAAAGCTTTCGTTGGTTCCTTGCACCATGATGATGCGGAAAACAAGTCTTACATTTCAGAAAGTGCAAGGTGCACCATGGAGGAGTAGGAGTGAATGCTGGATGTTGCGGCCTAATGACCAACATTTCACATCTTGAAGCTGCCGTGTCCGACGTGTTTTCGAGTCCCATGCTTCAACATGCTTGCTATGCTTGCTTCACATTTCCTTTATGAAGATGAGCTCTTCGTTCGAGAGCTCCTGCAGGCAAATAACACAGGAACCTTTCACAGCACAGTGACTTCGTCAAACAAAACTGCATCAACCGGAAACAAGAGAGGCGCCGTGAACAGCGCCACTGCAGCCGACGCCCTTCGCTGCGCTAATGCCTCGCAGCCAGCGCGAAGGATTCTTACGGTAAGAGTCAACGTGCCAGGCAAAACCTGATAAAAATCCTGCACTTGAGGCCTTCAGAGATGCTTCGATTTTGACCCCAGGGCTTATGTGAAGATCAAGCTCACAGCTTCTCGAAGGGTTTGTTTTCCTGATGGGTCCTCTTAGAGCCAAAGCCCTGAACGATCGCCGAAAACAACTAGAACTGACAAGAAAACAGTGAACTGGTAGCTACTGCTACTATGGACAGTCAAAATTCAAAACGTGCTGCAAAGATCAGCGAGCATCGCTGTGTGAAAGGCATGGAGGCTTTAATCGGCCTTACAAAGAGGCTGGCGTCGCCTTCAGAGCGAACGTTCGCCATCAGTCTCGCAAGTCTTAGTGGCTCTGCTCGAAACCGGCAAGACCCACCCCCTCAACGAGCCCTGCCAGCCCTGCCAGGCCTGCCGAAAACGCTCTACGACCGTGGGCATTGCCTGCGGCACGTTCGGCGCGTGTGTTTGTCAAATCTTCCTACGGCTTTCAGGGCTTAAATTTCATGATCATCCTCACCGAGGCAGAGAGTGGAGGATTAGGGACGGAGGGGCAACCCCAACGCCCAAACAAAAACGAAAACGCTCTCTCAGTCAAGGCAAAGCCAATGGCAAGTGAACCAGTCTGATGGATCTGTCTGAGGGTTTCCTGAAACCTACAGCAGCCACATTAAATCGACCTTTCAATGTTACAGACATGACGCAAGCGCCAAGCATGAGCATCAATGGAGAAACATCAAGAGAGAGCGTCGTAAGATGCTGCGGCTGCCGAGCGAATCCAGAACTGAAAAACGGAAATGCTCGGAGCTCAAATTGCCTGCCGCTGCTGCTTGTTTTAAATCGGCCTGGGCTCTGTTTACCTTAGGTGTTGTTAAGGTTCGGGAATCGAGCTGCTACCAGACAGACCGAGAGGCAGCACTCAGCATTGACTCAGCACAGGAGTGCACAAAGGCCTGCAGCAAGAGCGTTGTGAAGGATGCATGGTTCGCCTCAGCAAACCATGCCAAAAAACATACCGGGCAATCTTGATGGCACAAGCATGACAAAGCCCAAACTGCCTAAACCTAGGCGACCCAACACCAAGCCAGCTTGAAAACACACCTGCCACTTGATTGCAGCGGAAGTCGCGAAGTATGCTCGAAGCAGCCTGACCAAACCCGGAACTTTCCCAGAGGCCTGCGGTCGTTTTGAGCTCTGTAAGATCTGATATGGATCTTTTCGGCTTTGGCGAGGGCTGGTTGACAATATGGGACTGTTCCGAGAGCAGGAATGTTCATCGCAAATGTCTGCTGTTTTGTTGTTGGCTGAACAAGAGTTTCGTGGTTTGGGGGGCCGTTAAGTCTCAAGTCAAGGTAAGCTAAGCAAACAAAGGCCTTGGGCCTGTGACTGAAGAAGCCTTCGCGTATCTCCTGCGAACTCATAAGACTACAACCACAGACTCTTCAGTAACGTTCCAGCTTTATTGCCGAGCATTGGCTCCCAAGAATCCTCACTGTGCAGGTGCAGATGGGCTACACGAAAGGCTGAGAAGCTTGACACGGTTCTGCACGAGCAGGGCCCCCGAATGGCCAAAGGGCGCGCCTGCCAGAGTTCTTGCGCCAGTACCTCCCCGTGATGTCCCCGGGCAGGGAAAGCAAAATACAAAAAAATTGTTCTTCGGATGTTGGAGTTCCGCAGCTGTCAGGACGAAGTTCGAAGTTCTTTCAGACCTCGTGTGGTCAGTCGTTGAAACCCCAGAACGAGCCTTTTTAGCAGCAAGCTTCATGTGCCTTCAAGACTGCCGGCTGGCAAGCACTAGCTGAGAGCTCGTTCTGAGACTCGGACTTTGCACTCGACGTCGTACTTGGAGGGTGTGGAATGGCAACGCTCTCCGTGCCACCGCCCTACCTTTGTACAACCTATTTGCGGGCAAAAGTCCTTCGTAAAGCCAAGACGGACTCCATTGAAATGTACGTCGTATCTGGGGCTGTAGCAGCAGCAATACTCCTCCTGGTCGGACTCCTCGTCCGAGCACGTGCCAGGTACTGGTGTCGTGGTGGTTTCCGTCTGGGCTTCCGCCAGGGCGAGTTTAGCTTCCGCAGCCGCTACTCTCGCCTGGGCAAGCTCGAGCTCAGCCTTGAGCTTCTCGATCTCTGGCTCGGTGTCCTCTGTGTCGGCGTTTAGCCGGATAGCCGTCTTCCCTTCGAAGTTTTCACCTTGCTGCGAGCGCAAGGCATCGCCGCACGAGAAGACCGCTGAAATGGCTAGGCAAACCAGCAAAGCACGGCCGGCCATGGCAGCTCCGAAGATATATATTTGCCAAAGAACGGGCCACTAGTCAGCTCTCAACACTTGAGACGACAAGCATCACAAGGCCACCTGCCCCTTCTATGCCATCATCGAAATAAGAACTACGCCTGGCGGTCTTATGGGTGGAGCAGCAAGACAACAGCGATTCCACAGAGCGAATGAGTTCGTACCAGCAGTCGAAGGCATTGCCAGTTATGCGAGTTGGCAGACTTTGGGGCCTCAAGGGTTTCGCATCAGCATCAAGATTGACGAGTCACTGCTTATTCTTACCTGCTTACCTGCTTATCACTGCTATCTTACCGTTGTCGCTGTCACTAGTTGCTTGTTATGGTCTCAACGAGTCAGTGCCATGGCATTGCACGGCGTATTCATATCGGGTTGCTTCATAAGCAAGAAGCGCTACATCAAGTGCAGTCTTCGCTAGTTTGCCACCTCATTTCCTACCCCAGGGCTACCACAAACCCTAAAGAACCCTCAGCTCACTGCAGCTTCAAATTCTCAAACTCCGAACCCTTTTATCCTACGCCCAAACCTGACTTCAAGGAAGGATGCCTCATGAAAGCCCCAAAAGACATGGCCTTTGGCAGAAGCTCTGCGAAAACCACCTTCCGCTCTGCGGGCACGAGCCTTAGCTCACGACCCATGATGTTGCAAGTCATACCAACATATAGCAACGTAACAGTCCATCTTCCTAGACGAAATAGCCGCAACAGATGCCAGTGGAGACCCCACGCGCTTGCAACCACAACTGCAAATCACAGTAGCAACAGGAATACGAATGAATGGCAATAGCACCTGCTGTCGTCGTACAAACCATCGACGAGTAGCGGAAGCAAGAACGGGAGCGGAGGTGCGAGGGGCGAGAGCAGTAATCACAGCAAGTCGAACAAATGACGGTAGGTGGGAAAAGGAGGTTTGAAGTCGGCTCGAGTCGGCTTGCGGTCTGCTGGATCTGTTGGCATCTGCATTGCCCCTGGGCCCGCGAAACATAGTACACCGGAGCTGTCGGAGCTGTTGTGTATCCTTCGCAGCCCGAGAAGAAAAAAAGTCAAGTCCGACGCAGGCTGAACGGAAGAGAAGCTCCAGCAGCAGGCCCAGGATCTGATAGCAGTAGGGCAGCAGCTCTTCGGCCTCTCAGAGCGGCTGGCGGCTGAGGCTTCGGGATGAGAAGCTCGGAGCAGAGCGTGATCCAACGTGAAAAGGATTTAGAACACCACTCGCTGCTGCGTCAGGAGTTAGCTCGGATGGAATTTCAGAGTGCGTCCCCTTGTTCATTGAATGTCCATGTCTGTGCACATCGGCTGGGCCGAAACTGGAAATCATTCTGATTACACCTCCAGACAGCCGGAGAGAAGCCCAAGCGCCCTGAAAGAAAGGAACGCAGCCGGAAGATCCGCCTGACTTTCCCAGAGGCGAAGGGCCAAGGATTGCACGGCCTAGCTGCCGCATGGCTAGATTTAGATGTTTCCAGCCAGGTCAGTTGTAGGTCCCCACCGTAGTTGCGGCACCGAGTCTCTCACACTCTGGTTCTTGATGTACAGTTCTGTAGTACGAAGCTTGGCGCATGGGCCCAAGCAAGCCTTGAAAGCTCAGCTAGACACCCGAAGCTCATCTGATCAAACGGAAGAAGTGAAACCCACACCTACACCTTCTAATGTGCCAGACCAATTCTAGAATAGCCTTCAAACGACTGATTGATCTCCAACGTTAAGGATTTCAGGCAAAACTCGTTCGAAAACCATTCCCTCTCGGGGGGGGGTTGCGGCTCAAGCGACCCTGAATGCAAGCTAACCGAACAGTTGGATCAATTTCTAGAAAGGTTTAGAACCCCGCGAGGAGGAGTTGAAATCGTCAGCCTGCGATACTCAATGCACTTTATCTCCAGGATTCTGTTAGTGCTCTCCTCGGCTACAAGCGGTGGCGACCCTTGGAGGCAAGTTCACGGTGCGATTAGCCACATATCCCGGTCCACATATGATGCTAGCGCCAGTTGAAGTGCGCATGACTCCACATACATAACACCAAGACCTCAGAACACCTAGCATACAAACAACACTCTTACAAGTAGCATCCTAGCAGAAGCACGCCACCGCTCCCAACCTAACGATAAATTTCCACGTAATCCAAAACGCCTGCGGCGATTAGTTGCCAAGCATCTGTCTCGGCCGCGACAGCATCTTCTCCGCCACGTGCGAAAACTGCCTGCGGAAGGGACTCAAACAGTGCTTTTCTCTCGTGGTCCGGTGGCTTATCGAAACCCAAGATCGTCCAGATGCTGCTCTACCACACAATGCTACGCTCAGCATCGCAGCCCGGGCCTGGCCCCCTTTTTCCCTCCAAGAAAGGCAACAAAGATCGTAAGAGCATGTAAGAGCTGGAGGGAAGCGTTTGACAATGCGCGCCTTCATCGTTTGCGCGAGGCACTCGAAGGTGCTGTGGATGAAGTCCGCGCCGCGAAGCCTTGGCAGTCGAAGGCTCCCTATACGGCTCCTACGGGCGGGGCGGATGCGCCGAGGGACGATGGAGATGCCAGCGAGGCCGAAAGCCCACGCAGCGCGGCCAAGGCGAGGTCGGCGGGAAGCGAGGAGCCTCGAAGGAAAGGCTCATCCCTGGAACTTTCGGGATCTGTATCGCCAGGTGACCCAAGAATGCCATCCAGGCGTTGAGGGCCCGCGGCAGGTGCTCGTTGTGGGCCACGCTTCCCCCCTGCGATTCGGAAAGCTTGTTGCGAAAGCCAAAGGAATTAGTGCCCCAGTTCGCGTGTCCTTTCAGGCGGTCATGGTATGCAAGCCCGTATGGGAATCCGCCAAAACACTTCAAAGGAAGCCATAGTTTTGGGGCAAGAAGGGGCCACCTCCACAACGAGGCGGAGGAGTTGCGGCATCATCTGCAGCCTCGGTTGTTGGTCGTTGCCCTTAGCTGCCGCCTGAACTCCACACCCCCAACACTAAAATGTGCTATGCGGCTAGAGTCTCACAAGCTTTCACTACACACCATTGCCCCGGGATGTTGGATTTTGAATATGTAAGCCTTACATGACAACCCAAAAAATGTCGATTACGCTCGAACTCCGGTTGGTAAGTCAACCCATTCCTGGACTCTCGAAGCCAGTGCTGACTCTCGAATGCCGACACACAAGCGACTGTAAACTCATGTCTTGGACTTCCTCCAGCTGGAGCTCCAAAATCCCGATCCGCCACAAAGCAAATCCGGTTCCTGAAGCCTGCACCTACCCCCGAATATAAGCTCCAAGTCTGCCATGGCCATCTTACTTACAGTAAGCCCCTGTCACCAACTTGTCAATCGGTGCCTATGCTCTATGGCCGGAATTCCGCTCCGGATTCATTATTCGGCAGCTAGACTTCAAAACGGTCGTCGAAACTACGACGGCAAGACACGATGCAGCGCAAAGCCTTCTGAAGCGCTACGCAACAATGCGGCAGAACAAGAAAGTCCTCGAGCTCCGAAGCCATGCGACACCACCGGGCCAAGGGTAGGCTGATCATAGCGCGGCTTCCAAGGCCCACCTGCATGGAATCCCAAAGCCAAAGTCTTTGTCAATTCGCCCACATCGACCGCCGCCCGTTGAATTCCTCAACACTGGGTGTTCTTGTAAAGTGCAAAGAGCACTGTTGTCTGCTGAACCGCTGAGGTCTGGGCCCATGCAGCAGCCCAAGAACTTGCCATGTATTAACCAAGGCAGAAGGTCCCCCGTTGACGAAAGGAGAGGACTTCTTTCAAGTGCAAATCAGTGTACACAAGTGCAGCGCTACCACATAGTACGACCTTCAATCCTTCAATCAAAGTTGGGTAGAGGAATCCTTCTCATCCCCACCATCAGAGACAGGGTTTGGGGCTCAAGGGCTTTCGCATGCTTAAGGTTCAGTCTGTCGAGCGCGGAGCTGTAAGCTCTGCAGTTAAGGAATAGACGGGCTTGTCGCGCCGAGCATCGTCAACAACAGCTTGCACACTCGACACGGTCGAATGTAACCAGCATCATCGCTGCTTTCACAGGAATGTGTAGGGGCTTTACCTGGTGACAATGGAGGTGCTTTCCACTCTTGTTTGTCTCTGTCACCCCGACACCGTGGACTTGAGATCCCCTTCTTGCTTACTTATGCTCTTGGGATCACCTGAGCGCGAAAATAAAACGGCCTTCGGAGCGATCTTGCACAATCGTCAGTACGTTCGCCTCAGAAAGGGGAAGTGTGCCTTGGGCTTTCTGCACAGGGGGCTTCTTGTTCAAATCATGATGACGTCATTTCATTGCTGACTTTCGCGCGGAACGTGGAACTTGTGTATCTGTAATATGTATACAAGTATAGAAAAGATGGCCATATCGATGCAGTATGTGTTGGTGCACCAAACATACAAATATGTTGCAGGTAAATGGACAGACAAACAGACAGACTGCTCGCTCGCTTGATCGCTCACTCGCTCTCGCCCTCTCTCTTCTTCCGCAGGGCATGAGGGGTCTGTTAAACCCTGCGGCAAATTGGCCCCCCACATTTGTGAGGCTTTCGGAGGATGTGAAAGGTGGCTAGGAAACAGGGTTTTTCCACCCTCTCTGTCTCTCTCTCTCGCTCTCTCGCTCTCTCTCGTTTGCTTGCTTGCTGATGGCTTCAGGAGAGGAGACCAATGAGCCCCTCCCCCCAAGCCACTAAGCTGAGGCCGGCACCGACTGATTGCATTAGGGAGATTCCTCCTTTTCCGTGTGAGCGAACAAGACACTAACAGTCACTAACACCCCGCCTGCGCACTCACTGTCTGCCGCTTACCTGCCTGCCTGAACCGTTCTTGCTTCCTGCAGAGTGGAACTCCCCCGTCAAACTGCGCATCTTAAAGAAAGTATCGTAGAAACAAAGAAATTGTTCAGGGAGCTCCCCCATTCAGGCACACTGAGACTGTGCTGGAGCATCGGCTTTCAAGTCCCAAGTCCCGGTGAATTCGTTGCCTCTGCAGCGGTGTCCTTTCTGGCTTTGCCGCTTCCTCTGGCCCTTTTTCGGTGTCTTGGGACGAACGTTCCCTTGGTCCATGACTGCCGCGATTCTACGACGTGTCTCCGCCACGTTCTCCGGTTCCGTAGGCTTTTTCTTCCCCATATCCATCTCCTCCGACACCCGGATTTGGCAGCCAGGCTTCCTCTCGGGAGTTCCCCTTCGGCTGAGGCCTGACGGACATGTTGCCCTTCACAGTTCTCTTGCGGCCTCCTGTGGCGCTTTGAACACCTCTCCCTTCCGGAGCCCTTCAGCCTTGGCAGCGAGTCTCTCGTTCTCCCTCCCTCCCTCCTCCTGCTCACATCTCTCACTGTCTGTCTTTCGGCGATACTCTCTGCCCTTCCAGCGGCATGAATATGCATGCATACCATACATACATACATACATACATACATACGTACATACATACATACTTTCATACATACATACATACATACATACATACATACATACTTACTTACTTACTTATGTCTACGTACACGTATACATATACATATACATATACAGATATATATTACATATTGTGTATACTACCTGTCCGTATTTGTGTACACATATACATCTAGAGCATGCACACGCACTGTACATGACTGTATATTTGGCGCAGTTAATGCCTATGATTGCGACATGCACAAGCACACATACATGCATACATACATACAGACAGATAGATCTGACACATAGGCAGATAGACAGACAGATAAAGAAGATAGATAAACAGATACATAGATACATAGGTACATCGATACATACATAGACACATAGATAGATAGATAGATAGATAGATAGATAGATAGACAGATAGATAGATAAGATGGATAAGATAGACAGATAGATAGATAGATAGATAGACAGATAGATAGATAAGATGGATAAGATAGACAGACAGATAGATAGATAGACCAATAGATACACAGATAGTCAGTTATCTGCCTGCCTGCCTGCCTGCCTACCTACCTAACTACCTGCCTACCCACCTACCTACAAACATATAGGAAATGCACATGTATGTATGTGTCTGTGTATGTATATTCCTTGATCTTGTGGACCTGACCCAAAAGAATGTATACTGATGTACCTTTCTAGCTGCCTCCGAATGGCGCAGATGGCTGCGTACGTGTGGAGCAGTGGGTGCTGCGCCTGCAGGCGATTCTGTGCGCTGCATTGCTGCAGGCTCGCACACCTCCAAAGGTAGTCAAGGAAGTCAACTCCTGTCCTAACCCATCCGAAGTTTCACTCTCAAACCAAAACCTGAGACTGCTCCAGATCCCAGGTCGTCATCAGGTGCGCACTTTCGAAATCAGCTCCCAGCCTGGAGCAAGTTCGGGAGCACGGGCAGAATTCCACGGACCATTTCGACCTTGGATGGCCCTTTCCACAGGCAGCATGCTCCGCTTGCGCGACTCAAGCACGTTCAGAAGATCCGCACATGAAGCTACCTCTTCTTACAAGCGTACAACTGACACTACTTGCAAGATTCTCCACGCGATAATAAACGATCTGAATCCGACCTACGGTTACGAGGCACAACTCTTGTGTCCTTAATTCCCACCCAAGGTTGATTTGGGGCGTTGTTGTGTTCGTCTGAAAGAAGGCAAGGCGCTGACAGGATGTTCCGCAGCACCGTCACATACTTCAAGCAAGCCGCCTCGGTCAGGGAATCTGCATGAGCTCACGATAGAGATCTGCAGCGCCATAGGCTTCCAGAAGTATGGAAAGCTTTGCTAATTCTTGGTGGAAAACACCAAACTCACCAAATATGCTATGGATTCGGTTGAGAATTTAAGCCTTGTGTCGCGGGCGTTAGGCTCGCCCCGGGCGTGCGAACTTTGGCCTTAGGGCCTGGATTTGCTCGAACCCTTGCAAGACTTTCTCTAAAAAGATGAAAGGGAACACGAAGCCTTGAAGAGGATGCCCTCCGACGTCTGCGGAGTCCCCGACGACAGGATCTCGGGAGCCACCTGCCGGAGTTAGGCAGAGCCTTCGATGCATCCTGACCCTTTTGCAAAGAAGCATTCGTCCTTCGTGCACCCTGACTACACTGCCCGCTCATCTCCAGATGCACAGGTTTCGTCTGCAACCTTCTTCAAGCGCACCGACATGGATAGCTGCTACAACTGGGCATCTTGTGCCGTAAGTCCAGGGCAGCCTCTGCACAGCATGTTGTACTTGTGCTGTAGCCGATGGTGACACGGTCCCAAAATCGACTGCGTTGAACCCAACCCGCATGTGAGGTTCGGCCTCTCAACCGCTCGTTCACCCGCCTGGTCCCGAAAGTATTCTCCGGCGATGCCTCCAGGAGTGCCTTGTCTAAAAAGCGAGATCATAAAAATCAATCACATGCCGTGGGGCTGGCACATGGGCGACAAGGTTTGGGGATCGGTGGATGGGGGAGGCAGTGTTAGGAGTTCAGGGCTTTGAAGTGCGGCCTGAGCTGAGGGCCTGAAGGCTTGGTCCCAAGCACACTGAATGCCCAGAAACGTCCACAGCCTGACAGACGAAGAAGTGTCATAAGTTTATGCAGGCAGCGTGTGTGGCATTAGCGGCTTGCATGTTGCGAAGCTTAGGATAGCGAGGTCATATTCGGAAATCAAGCATGCTCTACATCCCAGCCCCCTTCAACACAATACCCACCGAGTTTGGAGAACCCCATGTAATTCAATAAAATCAGCGATGGCTTCATATAGGCTAACTGCAACTCAAAATGGTCGGGACAATCGGTATCATGCTGTAACCAATACATGGCCTGAGCATTTACATACCTTGCGATTTGCCAACTTGGGTGTCGGAAAGGGGCAAGCTCGCATCATGAAGACATCAACCACATGTGGTCACCAACGACTCACTTTCGACGTGAAGTCGAAAAACGGCCTGCAGCATGCCCTTGCATACTCCACTGTCAGCTCTCGAAAGTATGAAGGATAGGCTTCTCATTGCGAGTGAGTCACTCCCCGTCCTCAGCATCCTAAACTCAAGCACCTATCACCCCCGAACTGAAAAAGAACTGAACCTGTCCTGATTTCGGGCCGATCCTCCTTGACTCCAATACCCAACTGAGGGGCGCAGGTGCTCTACCTTCAGGGACGACGGCTGAAGCTCAAATCGAGCCACTGATGGTCTTGCCCGCCGACGAGCCCGCCATGGAGATTACCAGGTGAATACAGGCCTGCAGTCTCGGTTTCAGCGGGATGTTTCCGCTCTCAATGTGGTGCAGAAAAGGACTAGGGACCGAGGGAGCTTGTGGTTTGCAGGTTGAACTCTGCTGCGATTGCCGTCAGGTTTCAAGATGTATCACAGCTTAGAGTAGGCGAGCGTCTGGGATCCAGCAAAGTGGGCGACAGAGGAGCAGAACGGATCTTTTATAAAGCTTTCGTGCATGCTCGAGTGTGCTTCCAGGCCTCTAGCCGGCAGCTACATTCCATGCGGCACCACGAAGTTCATCCAGTCTCAGAATCTGAATGCAGCCAATGCGGCATGCTTGTAGATGGCAACCTTCCGGATGAGGCATGTGTTTGTGCCTACTCAAAACCACCGCGATACGATACAGGGATGGCAATACCTGCTGTTCAAGGGCAAAGCAAGAAAAGCGGTCTCCACTGGCCTTAGGTGCCCGGCAACAAGCTGAAATCACGAACCTGAAGCCTAAGCACGAATCCTCAACTGCTATTATTGTTGCTAGTTTTGCTGTTGCTGTCGCTGTTTCTTGCACGATGTTCTTGAAAGCAGGCTTGCAGGGCTTAAGAAAGCCCNNCCCCCCCCCCCCCCCCCCGCAATTGCAAACACAATGCCTGTATAACACTTTCTGGAAGGTTTCACAGGGTTCCGTTCGTGGTAGCACGACGCTCCTTCTAGCTATCGTTCGGCTGAAAAAAGCAGTGAAAGAGGCTTGTTCACGTTCTTGCTTTGTTGATTTGCTTCTTCCCTTCTTCTGTTTTTCCCTTCCATCAATTGATGGTTCCTCTTCTTCCCTGACATGTGTTTCCCTCTTCCGCGTCTCCTTGTTCCCTTCTTCTCTTCCGTTGTTTGCCTTGCAAGTCCTTTCTCATTTGCTTCCTTCTTCCCCCCACTTCCCTTCTGAACTTTGCCTCTTGCTTCTGTCTTCCTGGATTAACTGTTTCTGTCGCTCCGTCATTCTGCACTCGCTTTTTGCTTTCTTCGTGGCTTCCTTCCGTCCGCTGCGGTCCTTCATTGGTTCTTTCTCTACTTCTTTCCGTTAAGCACTTTCCGTTTCTTCTTCGTTGCCTGCTTCTGGCGTTTTGTCTTTCTTTTTGCTTATGCCTTAGTTCAGTCTATATTTCTCTCTTTCCCTTCTTCCACTGTTCATACATTGGTTTTATTTAATAGTGTCTTTTCCGGGTCTTTCCCCTTGTTCGTTTCTTGGTTTCGCTCTTTCTTTCTTTCTTGCTCTCTCTTTCGTTCCTTCCTCTCTTTCTTCCACTGTCCCTCCCATGGTGTCTTGCTTTCTTCTCTGTTGTCCTCGGTCTTTCCCTTCTTCCATATCCATCCCGTTGGGCAGTTCCTTCTTTCTTTTCTTTTTTCTGTATGTCCGCCTTCATTCCTTTCTTTCCCTCCATCCTTCCCCTGCAAGAAGACTGACCAACAAGACAAAAGATGACAAGAAAGAAATGATCCAAACAACCTACCCGGGGGCGCTTTGTCAGGCTCAGACCCAGCAAAAAACACCAGCCCAAACTCGGGCTCGGGGCACCTTTCGCTCGTCCGCCACGGCCGCTTCGCGGAGTAGGCGCCCGGCAGAAGCCACGACAACGTCCTCACGGAGAAAACACATCCTTCGTTCAGTGTCGACAGGTCGTGTTCCGATGCACGGTTCTAGCGTCCACAGGTTGATGTGTGTGTTTGTGTGCAGGGGGGATCAGAGCCGGGGACTCAGCCATATAATCCTCAGCCCGATGAGGGACCCTCAATTTGTCATCGGTTCCTGAATCTTGCGGGTATTCTTTATTTCATTCGTTTGTGTTTGATGGGAGTCTGCTTGACCGCGCACCGCGCCTGCGACTAGACATCATTGTCCAATGAGGTTCTGAAGGTTACCACTGCCAATATGCTGCACTGGAGTCGCGAAACACTACGAAACTCAAGTCAGGAAATCCTCTCCCTCACCAGCTCACTACTCACTTTCACGCCTTTCAATCGCGCACCTCGCGGCTCAAAGCCAGACCGCGGAAATCACCCTGACCCTGGGGACCAGGCGCAGATCTCTTTGTCATGCCGACGGCGCAGGGACCTCACCTGGAACTACTTGAAATGCCACTTCGTTTAAAAAGTTCGACCTTTGGATATCAAGACATGGGCTTTGGCAGTCGACTCAGTTCCTTTCGTACAATTATCGCAGAGTCACCGAAGAAGTCACGCTTTGAAAAAGTGGCAACTGACGACGTAAATCTGCCTGACATAGCCAGGCGCCCTATCCGACAGAAAGCCCGCCTCCTGACCGATTCCAACCATGAAAGCCCAACCACTGGCAACCCGAAAGAAAATGCACCCAAAGCCCAGAAAGTCAAGAATTTGGCCGTGCATGTCGATGTCGGTGCGTCGTGTCTCGGGCACACCAACATAGAAAATGATAGGAGACATCACACTTCGCTCTGACAAGACACCACAACCAGTCAATCTGAAACACAAGTTCAATCAAATCCTACCACACAAGTCCGGAGGAAGCCCGAAGCCCAGCCCAAATCCAATCCAGAAAAAATTGAACCTTGTTCCTCAGGCCACGGACTCTCGACCTCAACCCCATCCTGGAACCGTAGCCCCGAATGTGACTCACCGCCAAGGCACGAGGTCGACAGCCGCCCAGCGCCGCGTGTCCCGGTCCGAGCCCTCCACGTCGCGCGCGATGAACTCCTGGAGGGCTCTGAGGAGGGAGGGGAAGCAGAGACGAGGGCGTGAAAGTGAACTTTAGAAATCTCGCCACCCTACTGTGATGCGGGGAATTTTTTGCGGGTCGGAATCCTGAGGAGGGCAGCCTCACACCTGAAGCTCCTGATTCCACATGCTGAACAGTTTTCTTCAGGATCTGAAATAAGCTGAAAACCCTGTGGAAACCCTGCAACTGGTGGCACCTGGAGGTCTTCATGGAAAAGGCGGAGATCGGACTCGCGCAGTGAGAGATTCCTCTTGGAGGGATTCGATGTTCTTGGAGGGGTCTGATGTTGGTGATGACGGCTTCGGATGTTGTGCTGCAAAGCTGTCTGGTGGTCCAAAGGTTGTTCGGATCCTTGCTGATACTGTGGAGCCTCCCTTTAAGGACGGAGGAACTCATGTTAGCACTGATGTTCCCAAGATTCGAATGAAAAGCGGGACGAGAAAGTACCTATTGTTTTCCCTGATGAAAGTCCTACCACGACCAAAAAATTCCAATATAATAAGACAACTCGCACAACCCGAGAGCCGAAACCCCCAAGTTGCACAAGTTCAAGCTTTCCAGGAAAGCATCCGTCAATTGCATACCCGCCAAGCTGGGAATCCCAATACCAGCCCTCGGCTCGAACTACACACTCAATGCCGAGGCGCGTGAGCACTAGGCGCTCGCACAAGGCGGCCAACACCTAAAGAAGCGTGGCCCGACAGGTACCGAAAGGGCGCTTTGATGGTCTGAAACCAGAATGATACGGCTCGACATTCTACCGGCAATGCGTTTAGTAGTGTAGGAGGATGTTTGAAGATTTGGTTTCAGAGGGTTCGAGGACAACTCTCCGCTGCACACGCCTTACTAGAAACTTTAGTGCCACGAAGCCGTGCCAAGTCAGTGTCCCGTGCAAATGGGCAATCAGCACCACGAAACCAGAAGCACAAAGGGAGGCGGCATGCTCACGTGTCTTTCTTGTCGAT